TATTTTGGGGTCACCCCCAATTCCGGGGACCCCTCCCCAAATGACCCCTCCCCATTTCGGGGGTCCTGTGTCCTCCCCTCGTGATTTCCCCCTCCCCATTTTGGGGGTCCCGCTGACCCCTCCCCATTTTTTGGGGTCTCCACCATTATCGGTGCCCCCCCCACGACCCCTCCCCATTTTGGGACCCCAAAATTCCCACAAATTTCCAAAAAAATTCCCAACACCCGAGAATTTGGGGAGGGGTCCCATCCTGTCCTGAAGGTCCCTGCTGACCCCTCCCCATTTTTTGGGTTCCCGTGACCCCCTCCCCGGATTTTTGGGTCCCCGCTGACCCCTCCCCATTTTAGGGGTCCCGTGCTGTTTTTGGGGGTCCCTGCTGACCCCTCCCCATTTTCGGGGGTCCCCACTGACCCCTCCCCATTTTAGGGGTCCTGTTCTGTTTTTGGGGGTCCCTGCTGACCCCTCCCCATTTCGGGGGTCCCACTGACCCCTCCCCATTTTAGGGGGTCCCGTGCTGTTTTTGGGGGGTCCCGCTGACCCCTCCCCATTTTTGAGGGTCCCCGCTCCCCCTCCCCATTTCGGGGGTCCCGTTCTGTTTTTTGGGGGTCCCTGCTGACCCCTCCCCATTTTTTGGGTCCCGCTGACCCCTCCCCATTTTTGGGGGTCCCACTGACCCCTCCCCATTTTTGGGGTCCCATTCTGTTTTTTTGGGGTCCCTGCTGACCCCTCCCCATTTTTGGGGGTCCCCACTGACCCCTCCCCAATTTTGGGGTCCCCAGATGCCGCAGCGTGTCCGTCAGTTCCCTGCCGGGTTGGATGATTTGGGGAGGGGTCCCGTGCTGTTTTTGGGGTCCCACTGACCCCTCCCCATTTTCGGGGGTCCCATTCTGTTTTTTGGGGGTCCCGTGACACCCCCTCCCCAATTTCGGGGTCCCCAGATGCCGCTGGCCCGCAGCGTGTCCGTCAGTTCCCTGCCGGGCTTGGAGGATTTGGGGAGGGGTCCCGTGCTGTTCTGAGAGTCCCACCCCCTCCATGCTGACCCCTCCCCATTTTGGGGGTCCCATTCTGTTTTTTGGGGGTCCCCACTGACCCCTCCCCATTTTTGGGGGTCCCGTTCTGTTTTTGGGGTCCCCAGATGCCGCTGGCCCGCAGCGTGTCCGTCAGTTCCCTGCCGGGTTGGATGATTTGGGGAGGGGTCCCGTGCTGTTTTTGGGGTCCCCGCTGACCCCTCCCCATTTTCGGGGGTCCCATTCTGTTTTTTGGGGGTCCCCACTGACCCCTCCCCAATTTCGGGGTCCCCACTGACCCCTCCCCAATTTTGGGGTCCCCCAGATGCCGCTGGCCCGCAGCGTGTCCGTCAGTTCCGTTATGGGGTTGGATGATTTGGGGAGGGGTCCCGTGCTGTTTTTGGGTTCCCTGCTGACCCCTCCCCATTTTCGGGGGTCCCGTTCTGTTTTTTGGGGGTCCCCACTGACCCCTCCCCAATTTCGGGGTCCCCAGATGCCGCTGGCCCGCAGCGTGTCCGTCAGTTCTGTTATGGGGTTAGATGATTTGGGGAGGGGTCCTGTGCTGTTTTTGGGGTCTCTGTTGACCCCTCCCCATTTTTGGGGGTCCCATTCTGTTTTTTGGGGTCCCCCAGATGCCGCTGGCCCGCAGCGTGTCCGTCAGTTCCCTGCCGGGTTTGGATGATTTGGGGAGGGGTCCCGTGCTGTTTTTGGGGTCTCTGCTGACCCCTCCCCATTTTCGGGGGTCCCGTTCTGTTTTTTGGGGGTCCCCGCTGACCCCTCCCCAATTTCGGGGTCCCCCAGATGCCGCTGGCCTGCAGCGTGTCCGTCAGTTCCGTTATGGGGTTGGATGATTTGGGGAGGGGTCCCGTGCTGTTTTTGGGGTCTCTGCTGACCCCTCCCCATTTTCGGGTGTCCTGTTCTGTTTTTTGGGGGGTCCCGCTGACCCCTCCCCATTTTTGGGGGTCCCGTGCTGTTTTTGGGTTCCCTGCTGACCCCTCCCCATTTTTGGGGGTCCCTGCTGACCCCTCCCCATTTTTGGGGGTCCCATTCTGTTTTTTGGGGGTCCCCACTGACCCCTCCCCAATTTTGGGGTCCCCAGATGCCGCTGGCCCGCAGCGTGTCCGTCAGTTCCCTGCCGGGGTTGGAGGATTGGGGGGGTCCCGGCGCCCCCGATAACGTCGTGCTGTTCGAGGTGGCGTGGGAGGTGGCCAACAAAGGTGAGACCCCTCCCCAAAATCCCTGCGGGACCCCCGAGA